TATTATTATTATTATTATTACTATTATTATTATTATTATTATTATTATTATTATTATTATTATTATTATTATTATTATTATTATTATTATTATTATTATTATTATTATTATTATTATTCATTATTATTATTATTATTATTATTATCATTATCATTATTATTGTTATTGTCATTGTTATTATTTTTACTAATTATTATTATTATTCTTATTGTTATTATCATCGAGAATTGTTGGCAGTTGAAAATGTGACAAAATAATTGTCATTTCAAACTACATCCTTCAAAATTATTCGCCAATACATTTGATCGTTCAATTAACGATTAGTCATCATCGTCATCATCATCGTGGTGATTATTCAAGCAACAATAAGTTCACTTTAGTGAATTGTTTAGTAAACTTCATGAATTTTCTGGAAATTTGTGTGAATTTTCAAGTGTTTGAAAGTTGAAATTGTCGAGTAAAATTTGGAGATTAGATACATAATTGCAACTGAAGAAGTGGTAGTACTGATAATAGTTATTGTTGAATTGGAAATAGCAATGACAATTCGAACCTATAGTATATTGCTCTCTTTTCCTTTAAATACTTTTGTCATCTTATTTCTATTGTCATTTACACTTGGCCTATTCTTATTCAATAAATTCTTCTTTCATATGTGGCACCATATGTATCTTTACATTTGCAGTATTTTATAAAATTTTCTCTAACTTATTAATTATAACTCTTCACTTTCTATTCATTGGAAACTTCGGAGTGTTCTACAGAAATATGAGAAAATTTTGTGGCCAAAAAAAATATGGAATTAAAGATATCAATTAATATATAAATAACAATGATGTAAAAATGTGAAAATAATAATGATATTATTTATGAATGATTTGTTTGAAAACTGTACTTGTAAAAATTTGTAAAATTTGAAATTACAGTACTTGTATAAATAAGATAGTAGAGTTTATAAGTGTACAGTATGTATGGGCATTTATAGGTAATGCAAATACGTATTTTACACTTATAAAATCTACTATCTTATTATAGATAAGGGATTGCTAAAAGAATTTTACTTCAGGCTGAATCGGAAGTAGCAGCGCTAAATCGTCGGATTGTGCTTGTTGAGGAGGATTTGGAGCGGACAGAGGATCGTTTGAAAAGTGCTACAGAAAAATTAGAGGAAGCATCAAAAGCAGCTGATGAAGCTGAACGGTAACAATTAAAAGAGAAAAGTGGCAAGCAATATGCTTGTTTTTTTTTTTTTTTTTCAATCAAACAGCTTCCTTGCTTGTCAATTAAAAAAATGGAAATTAAAAAAAAATGGAAAATTAAAAAAAAATGAAAGTTAAAAAAAAAGTTTTGAAAATTTTGGTTTTTCACGCCAGAATAATTTACAACTTTTTTTCCTTTTTTGAAAACCGATGAAATTGAAGAAAAATGTAGCATTATTTGGGAAAAAAATAATGCTCTTTGCTATGTTAAATCTAAAATTTGAAGATTTTTTCCGCGGAAAAAATCTATGATAAATAATAGAATTACAATGCAAAATCAATGCAATATAAAAAACCTAAATTTCCGAATCTCAAATGCTTAGGTAGGATTTCTAGGGATTACGTTTTATTGCCTTTTTTTTTAGGATTTATAGGGTATAGGAATATTTTGCGTTCTTATCCGGTTAGAAGGTAGTACCGGAGGAAAGTAAAGGTACAGACAGAAAAGTACAACTTCTAGGCGGAGGCTGAGGTAGCAGCCCTGAATCGTCGCATGACACTTCTGGAAGAGGAATTGGAACGTGCGGAGGAACGTTTGAAGATTGCAACGGATAAGTTGGAAGAAGCAACCCATACAGCTGATGAATCCGAACGGTCAGCGAAATAATTTTGGCAATGCCGGTAGAAAATTTCTGGAATATTTCCAAGAGGATCTTTCAGAAATTTTGTTCAACCGGAGAAAAAAAGAGAAGCCAACCGAACGGCAGCCATCAGTAATTTATTTTGTGTCCATTGTTCCATGAAAGCCTCCTCAGCCTCCTTTTCATCTTCTCAATTCTTTCTCGTTTTCTTTTTTCCCGCAAATATAACATGATAGCATATTTCTAAAATTTTAGTAACAAAAAAACAAAAACAAAAATTAACTTGAAGTCGTGTTTATTTTTTTGTTTAATTAGTTTGAATTGCGCACAATATAATGCATAATTTTTTTCCTTTCTAAATTAATTTTTATAATTTAAAAGGTACAGTATTAATCTGAAAGTTTATATAAAATTTTTGTTTATCACATAAATAATACATAATAACATAGATATATTAAGTAGTGCACATTAAAAGTTCAGCAGATTGTTCTTTATTTTGGTAGCAGGAAAAGATTTGCAAAACAATCAAAAAATCCAGTGATTTTTTTTTTTCCAGTGCTAATTTTTCCTAATCTCATCATTTTTCTTTTTATATAATCATAAATAAATTTTAAACATTTGTACTTAAAATTATTCACAAATATAAGAGGAATAATTTCTTTTTTTTCTCAATTTTGTTTTTTTTTTTTGACTCTTTAGTAAGCTTCTATAATTTATATTATTTGTAATAGTAAGCTTATTAAGTTTGAATGAATTTTATTACTAAATTATATTCGTATGTAACTGTCTTAACCAATTGTTATTGTACGTCCTGTCGTTTGTGATGAATCGTTTTTGCTGTCTGTCATAGTGCTCGTAAATCGATGGAAACACGATCACAACAGGATGAAGAACGAGCAAATGTACTGGAAATACAGGTTGATGAGGCAAAAATAATTGCTGATGAAGCAGATCGAAAATATGAAGAGGTGAACATTTTATGTTGATGTTTTTGTTCCTTTTTTTTTTTGTTTTTAACATTTTTTTTTTTTAAATTCCTTTAGAAGAAATTTTCTCGTCTTACGTCTTGGCTAGCGTATACTTCAATTTACGTCGAATTGATGATTAGCAACGCATTTATTGAACATAAATTATGGACTCTCGAGATTTGCAAAAGTATGCATTTACATGAATTTTTGTTGTCAACTGTTTGTTTTTTGTTCATTTGTTTTTTATGTGATTTATTTCAAATGTCATTTACACTTTATGTTCGTTTGATATCACTGTTGTTGATAGCAATAATTTTGACTATATTAATGCATGCCATTCATCGTTTAATTGTTTATTTTTGCATGTTTGAAGTGTACTGTATTTCGCATGCTTCTCCTATATTATCTATGGTGTACTGAATGTGGCATGCTTCTCCTACATTAAAGATTAGTTTGAAAATTACTGAAACAATTGCAATTGCAATTACTTTTGATGATTTTGATATTATCCTTCCATATATCATTTGATAATTTGAGGTATCAACCATATTGCAGAAAATTTTTCCCTTTTTTCTTTTTATTTTACCTATAATGAAGTATATAAGGAATGGTACTTAAGTATTAAGGAAATTGATGTATGAGTGATCAAAAATTAAAACTTATCAATTAAGCATACATCAGTGAAACGGAAACATTCTAATTGATAATTATTATACTGTTACTGAGTGCTTTTAACGTTAACTTTTTTTTGAGTGATAATAATAACCTTCAATATTTTAAATATGTTTTGTTGCAATTTACAAGTTAAAAAAGTAATTTTTTTTTCCCCACTCCAGGTTTTTAAATAACATATTTAACCGAATGAAAATACATGTGTTTTCTTTTTCCTCATCAATTTAGCGCACGTAAAGCATTGGAAAATCGCGTCGACGTGGATCACGATCGTTGTGGTGAGTTGGAGCAAAAATTACGGGAAGCACAAGCATTACTGGCTGAAACAGAAAATAAATCAGACGAGGTTGTGCTTTTACATGTTTTCCTTCTTATTGAACTAACAATTTTCCTCACCATTAATATGCATAAAGTGAATAGTTATTTGTTTAAAAAAAAAAAAATTTGTTAGTTAAAACAATTAAAAATTAATTAATTTACTCATAGGGTATGAATTTAATGGATTATTTGAATTTTTAGTATTTCACTTTATTGGAAATAAAATTGGATAAGTACTTTCACTTTCTCCTATTTTAGATCCTTTCATTTATACATTAACTGTAGCTATTCGGGAAATTAGAGCTTATTTTGAAATTTAGACATAGTTGTATCCTGTTTTGGAATTTAGGGATTGGGACAAAATGATAAAGTAAAAGTCTGGCATCTTCATATTTAAATTTTAGTTGTGAATTTCAAGAAATTTTATAGAGTCACCGACGTGCGCAATTATTTGCATTTTGTTTACCTTACAATCACTCATTCATTTTCCTGAATTTCTCCTTTGAATTATTTCTATTTATTAATATTTATATATATTTATATATGTATATGTGTTTGTTATGCATGTATCTTGCAGTCTTTTTATCTTTGCTTTTATTTATTGTCAATCCCTTTTTTTTTGAAATTTACAAAAAGAATTTATAGGCTGTCATTTTTCTTTTTAATTATTACTTTGCTTTTTTCCTGTCATTCTTTTAGTTCTTTCTATCTTCGATTTCTCTATCATTCTATGTGGTAGATAAAGGAAGGCTTCTGGCGGTTGGTTTTTCTTTTATTTCATATTATAATTAACGATAACAGCAGCTGATTGTATAATATCAAAATAAGTATTTAAAAATTTAATATGGAATTAAACTAAAATTTGTGCATTTGAAAATTATAAGTAGAAATTTGACAATTAGGAAGGCGATGAAAATATTCTGTAAACTGAAACAAAATTTAGCATGAAACGGAAAATAATGATAGGAAGGAAACATTGATTTAAAAAAAGTATATATATATATGTATATGTATTGTATTGTAATTGGGGATTTAGTGTTCGCAAGGTTATGGAAAATCGTTCATTCCAAGATGAAGAACGTGCCAACACGGTGGAATCACAATTGAAAGAAGCGCAATTATTAGCCGAAGAAGCGGATCGGAAATACGATGAGGTGACAAAGTGTACTCTGAAAGAGTGAAATAGAGAGGGAGAGAGAGAGAGGAACAGAGAGAAAGAGAGAGAAAAGGATGAAATATGTAGCAATATTTTATGTAAATTTTTATTGAAATTTTTTTTTTGTCCAAATAATGGCTTCTTTTTTTATATAATAGTATTAGTTAAAATAATACGGTTAATATTTGAAAAAAATGGAATGCTTTTTTTCTTCGAATTAACATTTAAGGGTTTGCATGCATGCATTTTACCGATATTTGTTCTCTTATTCATTTATTTACATACTTTTTTTTTCATTTATTTTACTTGAAAATTTTCTTATCATTGATAAGTATTTGCTTTTATGATAATGTGACCATTATTTGATAATAATTCATACGAATGTTCTAAGCATAATAATGCGCTAATGGAACATATTTCCTGCTAATGTTTCAGGCAAATTTTGTTAGTTTAAGTAAGACAAGATAGCTTGTCAATCAGTTACCGGTAATTAATGGGATATTAGACAGAATAATTTTTGGTAATTGAATTTTATTAAACAATTCAATATCAAGTAATTCTGTGCGAAATCCATGTTTTTTTCCCCTCTTTGAGAAATGAAAAATTGGAATTTCCTTATTTGTGTTTAGTAAGTAGACTGTTTACATTATCAGGAAAAGAATGATCGTGTTCGAATAATTTTTATGTTTTAATATCCACAAAATTTAACTCGTCAATCCTTTTTTTTTATTATTGTATGAATTGCATTAATTATTGTAGAGTTTGCTCAAAAAATTATTTTTTTACTTGTCTAACGACTTGTTGTCAACTTCAAACATTGTTTCTGTTAACTAATCCTTCTTGTTTGCTTGTTTATTTGTTTTTGAAATCAGTTTATAGTTCATCTTAGAAACTTTGACGTATCCAAGAATTTTCGCTGATTTCTTAACTTACTTAACGTCCTAGATTTTTATTAATTTTTTTTTTGTGTCTTATATTATCTCATCTGAATACTTCTATAGAACGTGTAATGGTTTTGTATCATAGAAAAGCCTAATAGTTCAAAAGTTACTGGAAGACTAAAGATCCAATTTAATTTAACAAGAAAAAAAAATCGGATCGGTTTGGCTTATCGATGGTCTATAAACTGTTTGTGGGACACTGAATGGGACCGGTTTGAAGAATTTGATATACGGTTTAACAAATTAATTTTTGATTTGGATTTGGTATGTACTGTCCCGGTATGTATAGTCATGGGTATTTATGGTAAAGCAGCATAAAACTGTTTGTTTTATTCGTCCTTTTTCTCTAATATTACGTCTTTCACAGTATTTTATAATCATGATGTGTTGTTTTTCATTCACCAATCTATGCTTTTGCTGTGCAAAGAACTATTAATCCATTCCGTTCAAATATTTCATTTCAATTATTGCTTTACTTCATCAATTTTATTTCCAGGTAGCTCGTAAATTAGCTATGGTTGAAGCCGATTTGGAACGAGCTGAAGAACGCGCTGAAGCCGGTGAAAAGTTAGTTTCCAGTAAATTTCATCAAATATAGAAATTTCAATGGAATTCAAGAAATACACATTTTTTTAGTTTGGTGAAAGGTCAAGCTAAATAAAATTTTAATTTAAAGCATATGAGTTCGAGATGTTGATATGCGTATGTGTACAATTTTTTTTTCCTCACTATTTCATTTAGATCAAGGTTGGATGTAAGGTACAATAAATTTATCTCTAGATTTCTTAAAAATCAAATAAACTCGGGGTTATTGAAGAAATTGCATGAGGAAAAGTTACTTTGAAATTGCGTCCTAGGCAAGTGAGTTGACTGCCAACTGGAAGATTTTTTTTTTTTTTACCTAAAGAAGGTGGGAAGTTTTATGTGTTTGTGATATATAAAAGTCCTGTATGTACTATAAATCAAAAATCATTTCTATGAATACGGTTTTTGATCATGTTTAATGATGTAGTTAGTTATAAGTTAATATAGAATTCATTTTTGGAATGATTATATTTGAGAGATTGAAAAATATTTGATCAGGATTAATTGCATACACTACTCGGCATGGAATGAACTTCATTTGAAAAACATATATATATGGTGATCGAAAACTCAACTTCAAATTATAAGTTATCGGTTACATCAGCCGGCGTTTATGGCACACATTAGGCTAATGTTACGAGCATTTGATTTTTTTTTTGGAAAAAATTTTTCGAATAATGCGTTGATTTGAATGAAACAACAGAAAAACACGTGAAATGGAACGTGAACTGGTTGCTGTGGGAATGAACTTGAAAACATTGGAAGTTCATGAGGAACGTGCTCTACAACGTGAAAATTCTTTCTCCGATCATATACAAAGCTTACAGAATCGGATCAAAGAGGTGAAACTGGTGAAAATATTGGGGTCAGCGGTATTAAGCGTGATAGATTCACAATGAATAGTTACAATTCTTAAGATTAAAAATACTGACTAGTCGTTTGGGATAAAACTACCAATTAATTTTCTCGTTCAATGTCAACAACCTTTGGTGACGAATAATATTGTATGACCATTATTAGAATTACTGTTTATATAATTTGGAAATGAATTGAAGAAAACAATGATTTTTTAGATTATCTTTCATTTTTCTTTTTTTTTTCTGAAAGAATCCAATCGTTTACAAATCGACAAAGTAAATGCAAGAAGAAGGCTTTGCTGAAAGTTGAATTTTTAAAAGAATAACTTAAATGTTATAATAAACACTTGATTCGAAAATGTATTGCTGAAATGATAGTAAAGCGGAGTTTTTTTGATTCGAGGACAAGGCAGTTGTTTTAAACTTGGGTAACTAGAAGTTAGAATATGATACTATAAACCAAAAAAAAGAAAAAAACGAAGTGATGATTTTAGTGCAAAGGTTATTGTTGAGAATTATATTCGTTTTTCTAGTAGAATTAAATATACCTTTCTCGGCAAATAAAAAAAAACTGTGCGTGGTTCTATTATATCCAATTAAGCAGTAGTTTTGTTGGTTAATGTAAGTCAGTCAGTTAACATAGTAAAAATTGTTAAACAAGCAAAGATGAATGATGAAGAGAAGGAGCAATTAATTTAGTAACAACTAACTGAAGCGCATAAGAGGTTTTACACAGTTTCAAAAGTACGTGATATTATTGAATATCTAAAGTGTATAAATTAATAATCAAATTATAATAATGAAATAATGCCGCTGACCTTATCGTTAACAAATGCTCTGTGATGGATGCTATTTTGTGCTTGTCGGAAAAATTGATGTTGTATTGTTGTGTGTTGTGAATTGTGAGTATTAGTGGATATTGTTGTATGGCTGGAAAATGCTGAGCTAATAAGTATTAGGCTGCACATTTAAAGATAAGCATCACTTGATACAATTTCCTTTTTTTATTTTTTTTGAAATCTCTTTTAAGATTTTACTGATTGATGTCAAGAAACTTCCAATTCAATTTTTTATTTCTATTTTTTTTCCGTTTTATGAGATTGTTCTTCAATAGTTCTTTCTTGTTTGCATATTGCTTTTGTTATTTGTGCAGCAAAATTGTGGAATTGGAAGAAGAGCTTCGTGTTGTGGGCAATAATTTGAAATCTCTGGAAGTATCGGAAGAAAAAGCTCTGCAACGTGAAGATTCATACGAGGAACAGATTCGTACAGTTTCGGCACGTTTGAAGGAGGTATGATTGGTATGAAAATGATTAGCTTAATATTCTCGGAAAAATGTTAAGTTTATGGTAAAAAAAGTCTCTTCTGAGATTTCTGAGTTTGGCTTGCTTTATGGCTTTGTTGTGAAAGTTTCATGTTAAGCTTGAAAGCACAACTTTCAACTGAAATGTAAAAGTTGAATGCATTGATATTTTTTTGGGTATTCATCATTCTTTGCATGTCGATGCATGTGCTTTTCTTTTGAAACGTATGCGGGAAATGTTACTTTGTTATTATTATTTCAGGCAGAAACTCGAGCAGAATTTGCCGAACGATCAGTTCAGAAATTGCAGAAAGAAGTTGATAGACTTGAAGGTTTGTTTCACAAGTTTTTGTACATTTTAATAGTTTCATTAAGTCATTATTTAGGTTTGATGAATAAATGAATTTAGATCTGTAAATAGTTATTCAGTGACTGAATTTTCTTTAACGCTTCAAAATATTAATTCAAATATGCCCTATGCTATTGCATTAGTGGATCGAAATACCGAGAGGTTAGACCGGGATCAGCGTGATTTAATGTAAAAGGATCTATCTATGGAGAAAAAAAAAGAGATAAGTTGAATCTCCCATAAATCTCTCTACACCCTCTTCATATATTTTTATTTTATTTTATTTTTTCGTTTTTTTTTTCATTTTTTTTTTATGTATTTATTGTTGATGTTATTCTTAGTGATGTTAATTGTTATTGCTTTTCTCATATATGGGATGTAAATTAATGAGAGCTACAGATGAGTTATTAATCGAGAAGGAACGTGTGCGTAATTTGACGGAAGAAATCGAGAAAACTGTTCAAGAGATTCAAACCGCCTGAATTATCCGTCTCTATGCGTATCGATTTTTGTTTACCGTTTTGTTCGTCAACTTTTTTTTTTTTTTAAACGTTATGTGCATGTGTGATGTATATGTACTTTCGTGTGTTCCATAAGTGTGTTGTATGGATAGAAATATCGAATGCAGCAAAAAAAAAAACAGGAAATTTTCATCTTTAGGTTAATCCGAATTAAAAGGTTATCAGTATAATAGATTATATGCATTGATTATCATATATGATAAATTATCATCAGAAATTTAATACACTACTCCTTACTCCTGTTTACACTCATCGTTTTTCTAATTGATATTCAAAAATTTTTTCGGAATTTTCTTACCATTAAAATTTTGTTTGTTGCATTCATTTCGTTTCACTGAAACATCGTATCATTCCTTCCAAGCTATTAAACTCTTATCCAATCACTAAACAATCTTACAAAATTTCTGTATTGTTATGATGAATGTCTTCGTTACTTTTTTCTTCGTGGTGACTTTTTCTTCGTTTCATTCTTTTGATTTTTTTTTTTCTATTTTAACATTCAGAATAATTTGTTTGAAATTACTTGCTTGACATTCAAACTTTAAGTCTTTTTAAAAATTAGAATGGTTTGCTTTGATTTTGAACTGATTGCTGGTTTAGAAAAATATTAACAAGTAATTTTAATCATATGAATACCGCAGTTTAATAATACTAATGGTGTAACAATATTTTATCAATTTACAAATTAGTGAGTTTCATTTTTATCAGTCCCAATTAGGATAAGTTCTATTTTTTTGTTGACATATTTTTGGCGATAACTCCTGGGATGGATGCATTTTTGTTGATATTTAAAACATTTAGAAGGATTTTTAGAGAATTTTTAGTAGGATCTAATTTATTCTTACCATTGTGTGCTGTCAAAAATTTTAATCAGTTTTCCCGCTTTCTTTTTAATCTTACTTTTCAAATCAGTGTGATAAATTAATCAGTGTGCTACTCATTTTTCAGAAGCCAAGGAACTTTCGGACAATAAGGTGAAACAGCTACAGGAGGAACTCGATCGTTTGTTAAGCGAACTGAATACTGTTTGATCAGAAACTCTCTAACAACTTTTTCCTTTCTTGTTCCTTAACCTAAATATTTATTGATTGTAACGGAATTAGGAACTTCATGTTTAAATCTGGAATTTTTTAACTTTGCTTCTTCCTCTTTCTTGGATCCACATTATGGGATTCTGGATAGCTCGTTGATCCTTAGGTTAAAATTTCCCTTTTCAAAACATTTTGTTGATAGAAAGAAGATGATATAAGGAATTAAATTCCTTTTTTTATCCAAACATTTTCTTGTAAGTAGGAGGAAATTCGATTTAAAATGGCAATAAGGGAATGAAAGGTGGTGGATTTACAATCTGAAAAAGATTTCTTTCCGTTTTTCATTCTTCACATTAATCATCTAATAATTAATACTATTAACAAATAACTTTTTACCTTATTTCAATTTGGAATACTGCCCTACCGATGATCAACTTTATTTTTCTCATTTTATTGCAAGCTGTTTTTAATTTCTTTTTCAAGTTTTAAATGCTCATCAATTTGTGCAGTTTTATGATGTGCATGCTTTTTTTTTTTTTTTGTATTCTATGATTCATTATCCGGTTATTATGCGAAGCCTTACTTCTTCCTCCTTTTTTTTTCTGGTTTTCTTCATACAATTGTTTGATCATAACAGAATGGATTTTTCTCCTGTTTTGTTTGGAAATTTTACCAAATTTTAACGGAAAATTAACATATTTCGTTTTCTGTGAAGCGTAAACTTGTGGTACTCTGTCATTTGATTAATATGGTACCTGTCATTTGCTTAATGTTGCTTTTTTTTTTCTAATATGTAATATCGTTAAAAAATTTTGAAATTGATAAACATTCCTGTTTCTCTTTTTTTCTTCTGCCGAAATTTCCCTCTAAAATTTTAAATTGCAATTATCATCCGATACTCAATGGCCTACACTTAGTGTTGTGTTGTGAATGAAAAAACTGAGGTTATTTCCAGTTTTCTGGAAGAATGCATCGTTAGGTTAACCTTTTCAATATCATTCTTTGTTGGGTATGAATATGCAAGGTTAAATGAATGTGATCAACTGGTGGTTTTTCTTTTTTTTTTTTCTTCCTTTTTTTTCCGGGATATTGCCCGAGGAATTACGGGGAAAGGGATTCATATAATGTTATATGCAAATAGAGAAATTAAATATGTAAGAAAAGAAGAAAAGAAAACAATCTTTAACGATACCTTAAGTACTAAATCGTTTACATATTACATTTACATTTGATTAATTCTAACATTTGGAAAAAAAATTTATTTTTAAAAAATTGAATTTCGAATTATTTTTTTTTTTATTTTTTTGGGTGTCTTTATTGTGATTTTCTCCTCAACCTGAACAACACAATTTGTTTTTGTTTCTTTTCAAAATTTTTTGAAATAAAAGAGTTTTAATCAAATGTTATTTTTAGAAATGATATTTTTGCAATGAGTAATTTTTGATGAAAATGGATTTTTATTTCATCCTTTCCCTCTAAAGTTCTTTCTTTCACTTCTTAATTTAAATGGATGAAATTCTTGGAATTAATTTTTATAATGAAAGCATACAAATTCCAAATTCCCAAAATTAAATGAAAAAAAAAAAATTAATGATATATTAGAGTATTAATACAGGCATGCTTATTATTTTCTCCGTATTATTATTGATACTAATATCTCCGTTTTTTTTCCTTTGTTTCTCTCTCTTCCTCCTTTCCTTTCTCTCTCTCTCTCTCTCTCTCTCTCTTTCTCTTTCCCTCCATTAGTATTTTGATTTGATTACGGATGTTATTCGTTAATTATTCAAGTTTCATACGATATTCGACTAATTATTGGCTAATAATTTTTGCATTCCTTTCATATAAGGAAGTGAAATTGAGCTTTTTTTCGAAGATTTTTTTTTTTTCTTAAATGAACAAAATATGTTATGCTTAATAACTTCTAGGCTTAAATGTATTTTAGCGCTAATGGCAGAATTTGTAAATAATGAGTTTAAAATTTAGGCAAATTAGTGTAATTTATCGTTCATTTATGATAATTAATATTCAAGTTCTAACTGTTAGATAATTCAAAATGAAATATTCAATAAGTTCTAACTGTTAGATAATTCAAAATAAAATATTCAATAAGTTCTAACTGTTAGATAATTCAAAATAAAATATTCAATTTTCGAATAGTTACCAATTTGAAGTGAAATAATTAATTGTCAATTAGTATGTTACGAAATAATTACCATATATACATATTATAGTGAAAAAAAAAGAAGCATCCGTAAAAATTTGCCCCATTTTTACCGCGCCATGCATGTTTTTTTTTCTTTATCAATTAAATTCATATTTTCCTATTAAACTTTCTTAAAATTTGTAAATTTCATTTAAAAAATAAAACAAATAAAAAAGAAAGGCAAAAAAA